AAGAAAATATTGAAATATTTTAAAACTGAAGTGTGATATCATGGATTTTTGAAGTTGCATCTGGAGCTAGATGGCACCCTGTGGCACAAATTTTCCGTCCTTGAGAAATATATTCCCGAATACCTGTTAATTATTCGGGTAATTTTAGTACCAACCACAAGATATGTTACTAAGGTCAATGCAGTTTTCAGTTAATATTTGTTTTAGTTTCCGAAGGCTTAAATAAAAATATTAAAAGTAAATTTCATATATTATAAAGATTTAAAAAAGGGAAATAAATATTTATTTATGTAACCAAATCATTTAAAATTACTGGCATCCACGTCGTTCTTATGTCCACTAAATGCAACGTTATTAATAAATTTATTCAAGTTTTTTATCGGTTTTTAATAATTTTTTTTTTTGCCTAAATATTACATTAACCTCTTTTTCGTAAACAATGCACAATACTTAAAATAAATTCCGTTTGTATACAGAAATATATTAATTTATTCTTGATTAATTCTTAAACATTTAACTACTTGACATACCATAAAATAGACAAAAAGTTTAAATTCCGAACAATAATTCTGCAACTCATTAACATGCATGCCTAATTGCTCGTGTTGTATGTTGACAGAGAAATAAAACACCGCTACAAAATGCTATTAAATGCTTTCTATACTTGTATAAACATTTATCTCATTTGAATATTTCAGTAGATGTCGTCAGTGTAACAGCCAGAAAATGGTGTGACATGACTAGACTATTCACATACCATGGTGATTAGCGAGGATAGCGCTTAAATTATTGTAGTTTGGACGTGAGCATGTGCCTCACAGTTCGCTGGCAAAAGTTTATTGCTTGTGTTATATATACTTATGTATATTTATACATGCAAATAACTGGGCTGACCATGTTTATTGTATTGGCGCTGAATTTGTAATTCGAATCGACAGAGCGTGGATTTTTAATCAATTTAACATACATAATCAAACATACTTGCATGATGGAGCTATGGTATATTTGCTGCAGCAAAAATATTAACTATAATATATAAATGTAAATAAATCCATGCATTCATTTAAATCCTGTTTGAACAATTATAACAAACTATGGAAATTATTTTCTTGTTAAATAAAATAATTTTAAAAATAATATGAAACTACTGCTGATTATGTAAATTCATTTTGCATGGGGGCGTCCCTTTCAGTTAATCAGCTTTTAGCTGATAGCAGCTTAATTTAGCTATTAGTAATAAAATTTAACAATTTTGTTTTACTAGAGAGCCCTGAACAGCTTAACCAACTTACCACGAAGTTTGTAACACCCAGAAGGAAACGTCGAATACCCTATACATTATATAATACATAAATTATCAACATGACGAGCTGAATCGATTCCGTCTGTATATAAGCGAACTATTCCCTCAGTTCTTGAGATATCGATCTGCAATTATGCAAACGTAGATTTCTCCCCAAGAAGCTGCTCATTCGTTGGAACTGCCGATATCGAACCACTATAGCGTATAGCTGTTATACAAACTGAAAAATCGGCATCAAGCGTCTATGGGTAGCTAATGTAGGAGAATATTGAGCACATCAGTTGGACATGACTTGATAGCCCCGGTAACCTCTGCACAGGCTGCTCTTTGTATTCCATTTAGTTTCCTGCAGTTATACTGTTTCTTTAATACTGGCTATCAAACCAGTGCTCCAGACGTTAGAATTCGTCTAATGACGGCCGCATACATCCACATGACTGCACTTTGTAAAACTTGTTGAACTTTTAACGATGCAATGACATTCTTTGTTACAAAAATTCACCTTTTGACAAATTGCAATAAAATCTGCTACTCCTTACAAAATTCATATAAATATTGTATTAAAATTACTGACACCTTCACTGAAAGCTTACAAATTAGGGAGGGATAAATTTGATAAGTATATGAAAAGATATTTTGACTCCATTTCTTTTCAAATTAACCACACCGAACATCACTGAACAAAAACAAGAAAAAAAAATTTTAATTCGAACTTATCGCCATATTTTTAAGAATTTGCAAAGCTTAATAATAATTCTATTGCATAAAATCTCTTTGAACCATATTGTGTTTTAAGAGGAATTTTCAAACGCTTTCAACTTAAACTATGAAATTATCTGCAAAAACTGAGAATGTATTTCAGACATTTTTATAGACCACATACATATGTATATCGATCTTGCTCCTATGTGCAAAGTGAAAATATCAATATCATTAATATAATAAAGACTCACTTCTGTTTAGAATATATTAAGATGCTTCACACTTAGTCTTTTTAACCAGTTTCACAAATTATCATCTCCTTGCATTAGAAAATGTTAAAAAGTTTACATTGATTGACGCAATAGAAATGTTGATTTGACATAACAACATCTTCAACCAAATTGGCAAGGTTTTCTTAATCTGCTATTCACTAGGTTACTTGACGCTTACATATTTATTACTTTGGGACATTTTTTATTTTGCTTTAGAGAATCTTGAGCGTTATTTCGGTTTTTGAGTTAGTCGAATGTCAGTTAGGTTATTTTGGAGGTAAGTGATGATAAGCACTCAATTAGATAAAAATTAAATTAAAGTGCAGTTGTTTAAATGACTCAATAATAAATTATTAGATGCTGAATTTTCAAACAATAAATGAGATGAAGCACAGTTACATATATGTGCTGTTTATAAATGCACATGATTTCTATGATATATAACAGCACGATATCAAAATCCTAAAAGATTATTTTGTTTAAAATTCATATACCCTTTTGAAATATATGTATTCGTTGTACCAAACTCATGTGCAACCTGAGCTAACATTTTAAATTCTCCGTGCGCAGCACTTTATATAACTTAGTATTCTGCACATGAAGTCAAGTCTTACAAGCGCTTTTTCTGTTTTCCTAACTGTGTCCTCTTTCAGTCAACGCACGCCACAAGAGGTGGAGCGACGAAATAACTACCTTTCATTGAAGTGGTTGAGAGTGAAATTTTTTTCAACAAGCTGGTGATTTATGCGAGTAGTACCTTGCCGGCAAGTGTTTGTTACACACTTCTATGGAAACACTCAGCAAAATATTTAATGCTTATACATATACGTACCTGTTTGAAGATATTTACAACTTTAGTGGTTTTCTTTATGCTGTTAATTCCAGAATTATTTTACATCGATATTATCACAAGACTGAAATAGAACGTTACAAACAACAAGCATAAATTTGTCATACAAGTGTTTTTGTTTTAATTTAACCGAATATTCATAAGAAAATAAAAATTAAATATACATATTGTATACAATTATAAGTTATTTGATCTATTTTTAACCTTAATGTCAAATATGAATTTAAGCAACTACAGATAATGTATCACTATTAACGTTTTTTTGCATTTATTATAGTTAGAAGCTTGTAATACTCCTCCAACATGTTGCTACAGAGTATTATACCTATAATAGTTTTGTTCACATAACAGTTGTTTGTACCACCATGAACTAATTCAGATATATACATGTTTAGCAGGCTGTAACTTCGGTTAAAATTGAAATATCGTGATTAAATTTGGTACGAAATTTGTTCCATGACAAAAAAGGGAGCACATAACTAAGCCACAAATTAAGATACAAAACTGTATATTGGTACAACGAATCGCATTAACAAATAACATCTGCGGTTTTAAACTTTTGAAACAACCCAGGCTCCGCCCTCTAATAAGTTTAATGTATATATCTCACAAATTATTCAAGCTATATGGGAGATATTTGCACAAGACAAATAATTTCGACATCTCCTGCGAAAATAGGTGAAATCGGTTTTGGCAAAAACTACTAAAAGTGCAATAAATCAATAACAAAATACGTCGGAGACCTTACATTTTACGCGCAGATGTCAAAATTAAGCAAAGATCTACTCCACTAATTTCAACCAAATTCGGTACATAAGATTTTTTTAACATTCCAATGTTACGCCTACTTCCCGTAAAACACAACTTTAAATTCCATCTGATTTTTTCACTTTCCAGTATACAAATCAAGCACCAATTAATATATCGATATACAAATTGACACGAATATTGCCTTTGAGGTATGCCATCTCAGATCTAACGATTGTCCAGATCGGACCATAACTATTTTAGCTTCCAGGTACCGGAAATGCCGACCCCAGGCTGACTTTTTACCAAATTGAAAAATTTAAATTTGGAGAAAATCCTTACCTGATAATAGCAAGTCTGTAAGTCAAAAATTCAAGGGTTTAATTTGTGTCAATATTTCCATTAGCCCCCATATTGAAAATCTTTTTATTAGGATTTTCGAACTTCCGGCTGATGGTTCATTCCATATATCGGCCAATATGTTAGTTATATTAATTAAATTGAGTAAGCATGATTTCTCCTAACGGTACATCTCCGTGCCTCAAATTAATAAAATCGGGTGAAAACTTGCCCTACATTTATTATATTAATGATTTGGCGCTGAACATAATTGGTCTACTCTTTGGTCTTAAACTATGAGCTTAATATCATCAATTGCGATTTTCTGGTTGACGTTTTGCAGGTTAGGTTTATGTCAGATATATTTCAATTGTGGATGATTTAAACATAGTTAGCATAAAGCACCAAATTTGATCGTAATTCATTCACGATGTCTTCAAACACTGAATATCGAATTCTTTCGCAACACGTTTTAATATGAAGTTTTGTCAACACCTGAAGGTATATCCCCGGCTTTGGTCTTTGCACGTTGCAAGAGTATGAAATATTCGGTTAAACCCGACCTTAGCCTTCCTTACTTGTTTTTAAATACATTTAATTATTTATATAAACTTATTACTTCAAAGATATATCTATCGTGCCTGCCTTCTCTTCAAGGTCGATTCAAAAAAGTTATATTGCAAGTGATGTGTTAGCTTTATAAAATTCCTAATTATAATAAGAATTTTTTTTATATATTTCCCTTAACTACATTTGCGCATCTAAGCTTAATGTTTTCCATTTTCAGATATTTGTAAAAACAATTGGAATAAAAGCGGATATTAGAAATGGTAAAAAGGTGAGTGAATATTATTTAATTTAAATGTCAGCAAAGTGGTTCAAGATGAGTGATTTAAGAAATAAGTATTCGTTATTTTTTTATAAAGTTTAGTTATGTTGAAGTAGTTACTGATTTAAAGTAGTATTCTAAGTATAAGTACTAAATTTGTGTAAGTAATTTCGCTGTTAAGATAATAATGAAACGAATTACTTAGGAACAGCGAACTTTTGAACGCTGAGGTCTGCACTTGTGCAACTTTTTCAAGTAAAGATGTTTTAAACACATGTCTTTTAAATATACCTACACATACATATACACTCTTCACCATCTAAACAGTAAATTGGGCCTAACTAAAATAAATAAAAGCAATTTTCTACATATTTATGATTAGCCACCATGGCGTATACGTTACATTTTAATGTATTATTGTTTACTAGGATTCAATTACATCGCAAACTTTAATGTATTCTAGCGTCAGTTTAGAACAATATACATATATGTGTGGTAAGAAAACTAGAAACTTTGCTACAAATTGACGTACGTTGTAATAACCTATTTATATCACAAGTGATAGCAGGAAGCAATAGAAATCTCCCAATTGGAAATACTGATTCACGTTTCATTAACGCAGACTTAGATACGGACGCTGTTGAGCTAATGACGCCAAAGGAGCTCATGTATTACATATATGTATGTATGTTCATGGTTCTTGAAGAGTAATATTATACTATATGTAAATCTATGTAACATCTACAACAATCACTATTCTATGGGTCGGTGGTGGCGTATACGTAATATGAAATTCTAGTGAAGTTTAAGTTAATCCAATCTTCCAAGTTTACCTTAAAATAAAGGAATTAGAGAACTAATAAAAGGGCATGAAAAAGAATATTTCAAAAATGTTTGATTTAATATCTTCTTTACTCTTAAAGTAATATAAAATTTAACTGTTAAAGAGTGTACTCGTTAAGCTCTTTTATATATCTGAGTTCTTTAGCAAATCAACTTTTGCAAACGGACAAACTCTGGGAACTTCATTGAGATGACTGAACCGGTATAGTAATTATTGTTATTTAATAGCTTCTAAGCGTTTTTTACTGATCGAAATAAAACATTTTGATTAGAGATTTTATTGGTACACGTCTTATGATCAAAACATGACCTAATATTGACACGTAAATATTCGACGTCTTCAAAAAAATATTTTCCTTAATTTTTCAACCACTTAAAAGTATTTTCGAGTATATTTTATTATATAGACACTTGATTTCATTTTTAGACGGATTCATTTAATTTTTATTACAAAGAAATAAAAATAATACGGAAACCTTTGCATGTCTAATTACCACTATACATTTATTTGTTTCCATAACTCTCATCTTTTGGCGGATTTATTTCGTTCACTCCCATTTCAAATTTTATTTATTTTCAGCAGACTCAATTTGTATGCAAATCATCTTCGTCGCAATCATAAAATACAACTAAATCAACTACAATTTTTATATATATTCGTATGTGTATAAGTACTTATATGTAAGGTGTTGGCAATGCGGGCAATTACAGTCAGCTGACATTCAATCTATTTCAAAATATATGACATGAAGAGAAGATTAGTTCGAATTTATAAAATTATAAATAAATTAATAAAATAGCTTACACATATATTGATTTTATTTATCAAGAATATAAAAATCTGAGAACAAAAGTTTTAGTTGTCTTAATTTTAACCCAAATCCCATCTACAAGAATCTGTAATTTTGGTTTGTTTTAATTTTCATCTGTCAAAGAAAGGTTTGTCAGTATTGCCAAAGACTTTTTTTTGTGCAACAACCCAACTATTGTGAATGATATTGTTGTTGGATAAGTCTTCCATACAAAATGCTGGTCAAATAAAACACGCCTTATATTGAATAGTATGAAGTTGGTTGACGGCCGAGAATAAATAAAATAAATTTTTGATACTCTGTTCTCATGTGAACTATATTCCAGTAGGATGTTCTGCATCGATCGCTGGGGCTATACCGTGAGGCAAAATTTTCTAACCACTATGTTTTAAATAGCTTCTAACCGGCCTTACCACATGAGGCCGAGCGTTGTCGTGATGGAAATTTATTGTCTCGAGTGGAGTAGCAAATACTGGATCTTTCTCGGCAATCACTCGCTAGCTGACATAAAGACCCTGGACGTGATTGAAACAAAATTATTATATATTGTTAATGAGGGTACACTAACTTAAACAAAAACCATCACAAAGTTCATGTGACAAAAGCAGTGTTTCCCAGTATAATTTTAAGATGACTGGCCCAAAAGACACGTATACACATGTACAATCTAAATTATCTTATAGCTTATTTCAAAAATATTCACACTTTGTCAAAATTATGTGGCACTTTAATAATTGTATTTTCTTTGTCTAGTATTCCTTATGAACAAATAAGTAAAGGGTGTGCTTTTTAGGCTAAAAAAAACATTAGGGGTAATCTGACAACTTTTAAAGGAACACACCTACAATAATCGCCCTTGTAACATATGTATATATATATATATCTAAATTAAACCACCTAGCCTCTGATAGACTCAATATAAAGCCAAAAGGGCGAAATGGTAATATACCTACTTTTTGATTAAGATTATTGGTCTGTTTTCTGGTTTCAGTTAAGTAAAATTATAAAAGTTTTTAGCACGTTGTGTAATTGTTTTAAAGGAGTCGTTAAAAAAAGTATCAATTTAAATTTTAACAGTATTTAGTATACTTTGATAAAGTTATAAATGTCATAGTTAAAGGTTAAAACCAAACTCATTTCTTTAAAATATACAATATTATAAGTATATACCTATATGCATAGAAAAGAGAAAAGAGAATATTGCATCAAAAAATATGGAAAACAGTTTATACGAATAAATAACACCCAGGCTTATTAAATGAAAAGTGATGCCAATAATAAAAATAGTCTATACCACGCTTAACACATAACAATTTCATATGTTCAGTATTCATCACATAATGTAAACGGGCGTACATACGTACGAGCATGTATTAAATCTTATGTCTGAACTTCATTCGTCAGTTATCACTTGATTTGGTTGAGGAACTAAATATTCATTTATTTATGTGTGCACATTCGAAATATTACTATATCATCGCCCACTGAGTGCAATAAGCCCTCATTATAAGTATATAAATACTTAGGTATTTACTTGTAGTGTGCTTGTGCTACTCAGCAAATTTGCACAGCTCAGACAGTCAGCCATTTATGCGCCAGTAAATAAGTTGTTGTTTCAATAAAGGTGATTCAAGCTAACGGTCGTATGCATGTCTGGAATACATATGTATGCATAAATGACAATAATAATAATGTAAGAGTCTTCAAAATTTGTTGAAGTTGTCCGCCGAGGTGCGATTAATTATATTTTATCAGTATGGTGACTCTATCGCATTTTCTTACCAGTAGCAATTAAACAGCGATCATTGTTTTTATGTTGATGTAGTATGCTTGAGATAAAATTCCGTGCGAAATTTTGTGAAGATATCTTGTCAAATGAAAAAATTTCACCTACAAGAACTTCCTTTCGTTAGTTCAATTTGTATGTCAGCTATATGCTATTTTTATAGGTCCGATATCGGGGATTCCGATAAATGAGTAGCTTCTTGAGAAAATGATGTGTGCAAAATATCAGAGCGATATCTGAAAAACTGAGGAACTAGTTCGTATATAGGTATACAGACAGACGGATATGGATAAACCAACATCAGTATGATGAGTTACTGATCATTTATGTATATATTTTATAGGATCTCCGACGTTTCCTTTTGGGTGTTACTAACTTCGTGCCAAACTTAATAAATCCTGTTCAGGGTGAATAGGTAAAAGAGCCTTGCATCTCTGACAGTTCGTTGTAAACTAGTCAAACAAGTCAGACTTAGGAATTTTTAATGATTTAACAATCGGAAGCGTTCCGATCGAACATGTGCAACATATTGCTTGCTATGTTTGGTTTACTGATCTCTTTTCATAATAGGTGGAGTAAAGGGACAACTGCGTTTAATAGAAGTGGCTGAAAGTAACAATGTTTTCAACAATCTGATGGCTTATGGGTGCATCACCTTGTCATGTGTGGCTTATCGACATTTGAAGATATCGTTTTTAAACACTTTTGTGTAAATACTCAGATGTACATACATATGTATATTCATACTTGTATATATAAGGTACAATTCAAAAGTTCCAGGACTTTTTAAACAGCGTGGCTTCTAGTGGTGCCATCTGTCTGAAATTATTTTCCCTCAGTTGTGTATTCTTCAGTGTTGTCGTATAAAAATTATATAACAGCTGACTTGTATAACAGCTGAGATATCGCGCTACATGTGACATTACATTTGTAGTGTCGGTCGGAAAATGAGCATCGAACAAAGAGCCAACATTAAGTTTTGTTTTAAACTTGGTAAAACTTTTACCAAAACTCATCAAATGATGAAACAAGTTTATGGCGATGATTGTCTTTCCCATAGCCGTATTCACGAGTGGTTTAAACATTTTCAAGAGGGACGGGAGGACTTGGAAGACGACGAACGTTCGGGCCGGCCAAAAGATGTTGTGAACGAAAAAAAAAACGCAAATTGTGCGTGAATTCATTAAAAAAGAGCCGAAATCATCGCTTAAATATTATATATGGAATCGGAATTATCAATATCCGCAGCGTCGAATTATCGTATTTTGACAGAAAATTTGGGCCTCAGAAAGGTTTGTGCTCGATTTGTTCCGCACACTTTGAAACAACACGAAAAAGACCTCAGAATTTAACATTCAATTTGACCAAAAATCGCATTCATATCATCAACCATTCACCCTATTCGCCTGATATGTCACCCTGCGATTTTTTTTGTTCGTTGATGCTATCCAAAAGGCGACGACCGCCATCCTCAACGCGCTACCGACAAATGACCTAAAAAAGTCATTCGATAACCTTCTTGAACGTGCAAAACGTTGTATTTAGACGGAAGGAGACTATTTTGAAGG